AGATCATATATATTTGGTATATTTACCCCATTTCGTTTAATGTTGATAACACATAGACGAGATGAAAATGTAATCCACCCTGGATGAGAATATCTTTTGTGAAGGCAAGGCTAACTGAAATTCAATAGAAACGTAAGATCTACTCATATCATTGTCGGAAAATTCAAATACCAGTCCTAATATCACCTTAAACCAAATAGGGTGAATACATCTAATATATATGATCTACTAATAGTCTTGAAAGCCTACTTAAAAGCGGAAAATTTAATTATTACTCTGCCTCAAGTCTTTGACGGCAGATTTGCTCTAGCCCCACTAAGTAGACCCCAATTTGAATTCTCATGTCGAATGAAAAGCCAAATTAACGTTCCAGTTTCCCTTACTACCATTCGGCATGATAATCGGGTTAATCTCGTGCTCAAGTCTTTATTACCCGTGTAGACTACTCGTCTTAGAATCTACTAAGTCTACGGTCCAACGTTAAATATTATAAATAGCTAAAAAGACAAAAGACTCCTGACAATGTGCGTTGATAAGGATCTCTATAAAAATATGAATGAATTAAAAACGAGATCAAATAATTTTAGGGACTGTAAGTTGCGTTATTCTTCTTCTTTGTTTCTATCAATATCATATAACATAATTTTTATTAAAAATATAAGAGTAACTAAAATAATGCTTGCAACGAAGTCTCAGTTCTAATAATAATGAGATTGTGAAAGAGGACGTTTATAAGCGCTTTGCAGAGACAGAAGCACTCACCATGAGAAGAAGGTGAAATACTTTTCCTAAACGATTTTGTTGAATTATCTCTAAAATTCCTCTTCTCGTCAGCGAAACCGTCAGAAATGTTTTGGTAAACAGTACGGAACTCACCCGATAATATTATCTCTTTGCTGGGTTGCTCGATATTGATTAAAGCATTAGTTTTCCTGTGATTAGTATCCAAGTCAGATGAATCCGATTCTTGGGATCTCATTTCAACTTTATTTGTAGCCAAAATTTCATCACCCACGGCTTCAGCTAGCGAATCAGAACAATCAGAATTGATGATATTTCGTGTTTTAGTCTGTGTCTCAGAGGAGCCATCTTCGATACCCCTGGAACCGAAGATAGTGTGACTGGGGCGATGGATAGGGATAGAAGGATAGGAAGAGTTGGGTGAGGATGATGAAAGGGGAGGATTTGAAGGCGAGGTTGTAGAAAGACGTCGTAACAACCTAGCACTGGCGCTAGAGCTGAGGCCGCCAGTGTCTGAACATGCTGAATGTATGCTAGGTACAAGCGGGGCAAGTATCACTGGCTTCGTGGATGGTGTCGGAGAGGAGTATGAGGCGATATCAAGCTGATTTTGAGAAGGATACAATCGGGACTGCGGACTAGAGCTGATTTGTTGATAGGATGAAGGGAAAGTATGTGGGATAGAGGTAAGAGGTACAGATGCACAAGTGATTGCAGAGCTGGTGCTAGTAGGGTATAAATTGGATGAAGAAAATGTAGAACAAGAGGTAGAAACAGGCAAATGCGAGAAGGAAGTCGCCCTATCGGTGAGAGGAGACGGTCGAGAAGCCAGGAGGGAGCTACGAGGTGGATCTAAGCCAGCCAAAAGATAGAAAGCTGGGCTCGAAGGCTTCTGGGTAAAGGGGACTGAAATCCAGAAATAATAAAGAGAATTAAATGAGACACTGAGTAAAAAATAAATTGAAAAATATTAATAGGAATAGGCTAATAAAAGGCCTTCTTCAGGTTTTTTAGGACATATATAACAGTTGATGACAACAGTAGGTGCATTAAAGTGTTATTTAAGCTACGACTTCTGTCTACTTTGAATCCGAAACATCATGATGACAAAATGCTGACAAAGATAGCATCAAAGTATAAATATAGATGGATTATTGTAAAATAATACGAAAGCAAGATACTATCTTAGTAATAAAATGATTACTCATAGCAAAACAATTAAGGGATTGACTAACGTGTGGTAAGTGACTAAATAATGTAAAAAGTTTTCACTTTCAAATGTAAACCAAAAAGAATATGGAAATCTTTGAATCGTGATGGTATATATATAAATTAAGATAAAGTACAAGCCAATTAATTGAATGATTGGAGGGAGGAGAGAGACAAACAAGAGCAGAGCAGAGCAACCACACACCGAGAGTTTGCAGCTTAATATTATGGTTAGCCTCTTGAAGAGGAACACATCGCAAATACGTAGATCGGGAGTGTCCAGGTTTACAAGATAGGCGCGACTGCTTATACTCCTTATTCTCCTTGAAACTTAAATGAGCAAGATCATTACAAGTATTAGAACTATGTCCTTGGAGATGAGAGCTAGAGACTGCAATTTTGGCCGGGGAAAGCAGTGGGCCGTAATGAGTACAATTGAACATTGAACGCCTTCTGTCGGAGGGGGATGATTGAAGAAGAGAGGACTTGCACTATGGAAGAAAGAAAGAATAGATTTATACGATAAAAAGGAGAATGGATTGACCTGAAAATTTAATTGATAAAATAATCAGCATTATAGAGATGTAACAAATCAATGTTAGCAAAAAATAAGCAGAGCAGTAAAACAAGGTAAAAAAAATATTACAGTAGATAGAATATTGGTGATGAATAATGGTTTCTGGCTCTAATGATGCCCGTTGCATGCATTTTGCAATTTCTATCGACTGCGTTACTTATATTCGGTTCTGCAGAACAAGTTTACATTTGTTTAAGGTAGATTTAGAAGCTAAAGGTATATCCTTAATAAGAGCTGTATTCACATGTGATGGGTACGAGACAGCTGAATTTTCCTGAAATGATACGAGTAAGGCTAAAGGTTCCATTAAATTCTAAATAGCTATGACTTTCAGAAGATATTCTCATCAAAGATGGACTGTTGCTTCGATCTCGCCTAGCTTTTACGAGCACCTGCCGCATTTGAAACACAGTAGTGCAGCGATAGTTCCTATACGTTGAAAACTGCGCCACATCGTCATGAGTGTAGCTGTCTAGCAAATAAGGTGCAAATCTCAATGAAACCCAAGCCTTTTCCTATATCATATTTTTGTGGTTGAATTGGAAACAAAGCAAACATTTATTCGCAATTACAATCAACCACCTCCTATATTGATTTTAAGTAGGTCTAAAAACTACAAGTAATCCTATTCAATAGCAGTATTCACTCGAGTCCACATGTGATGAAGGACTGTAAATGAATTTGACCAAAATAACATAAGGACTTTTGCTTACATTGAAAGCGCGGCTATGCGAAAGTTAATATAAAAGTGAGACATACTAATGCCAATGTAGGAAAATTCAACTCAGTCCTTTTTCACCTTATGCAACCTAGGATAAAGACAGCTCTTATTCAAGATCTGACGGTATTTTCAAAACCTACTCAAAACCAATAAGTGATGTGGCCGATTGTGATAGAAAATACGAGACTACCTCGTCGAAAAATGCAATATAAAAGTGAAATTTAAGAGGCTTGGTCCTCCTTGAAATATACACTTGCCCTGGGACCCAGGGGTTATCATGGGAGTGGTGAAATGGATAACGTATTGATACTAAAGCTGCACTACCCTAGTTCGAATCCTGCGGAGGTTACCAGACTGCAATCCACCTTGAAGTCAAGTTTATGTGAAATTCAAATATATGAAGGCAAATAATAAGGGACCCATATATGCAGATCAATGGAACCCTGCGTGACGTGCCGAAATATATGCACAGGAACGGGGAAATTGACCAATGGACAAAAAATTTGATAACAGAAAAAGAGACACAACAAATAGCCTACAGATTGCCGGAGATACACAAGGAAGGCTAATCACCAAGGCTGATAGTCAACAAGTATGGAGCAACGCACAAATGAGCAAAGTTCATATGTTTGAAACATAAGAAATTGAGTGACAGGTTATCAGACAGTGAAATATTGATATAAATTTGCTCAAAGAATCAAAAACATGAAACTGGAAAAACTGACTTATTGGTAAGTTTTGAGGTACAATCCATGTATACAAGAAACTCTGAATAAAAGATGCTAACGGTATGGACAGAGAAGATATCCTGGAAGCGGAAAGGATAAGGGGGGAACCAACAGGATTGATCAACTTGACAATAACGACTATTTACTTCACATTCAACGGGAACATTCATTAAACAATATTTGGACTTCTCATGGGGTCGCCGCTCTCACCTCTTTTGGCAAACGTGTACATGAACAAATTAGAAGATAACTTCAAGATGTCACCGCTTCTTCTAGAAGTGTTCACGTGGTACCTTAACGATTACAGCACGCTTTTATCAAATGGAAGATTTTCCAATATTTATAAACAAAAATGATGAGTCACAATGGGAGTAGAAGAGAAGCGGATATCTTTTCTGAATGTTGAAGTCATTCATCCTAATGGGAGGCTCAAGAGATAATTGTTCAGAAATAAGTCAAATATCGGAATATACTCAATTTCTAGTCCCAACACAACTACAGACTAAAAATAGGAATAATGGGGAGCATGATTATCAGTAGCCTAGGATTAATGGACGTGGAAT